GAGGGGAAGCTTGTACCTGCCCTAAGAATAGCTCATTTTGGCCTCTCACTCTCTTCTTTAAAAAAACAGGATAATGATTGAAATAAACTGTCCAATGCAATACGGAAGATTATGGATTAGAGCATATAAAACATTATATAATCCTAAAAGGTTTTATCTTTATTCACCCATATATAGGAACTCTCTAGTCATCCATTTGCCTCCTCTTAGTCTAACCAGGGTCATCCCTAACTAAACCATCCTAGACAAATGTTTGTCTAACTTGCACTTAAAAATGTCTAATAACAGAATGATGGAAGAATAGGTTGATTTTTTAAAGCTAATTCTAGCATTCAAGTGAATGTAGAACGTACGATTGGAAAGGGCTTCCCAAGCTATCAAGGTCAGTCCCCTGCACTTCTAGGCATTGATTTTTTCAAAAGGTCCATAAAGGTGTTCACTCCAATTCCTCTCACAAACCACAGCTATAAAACACCCTAGGGAAAAAAGAGACGTCAATGTTTTACCACTGCAGTGGTAGGAATTTGTGAGGTTAAAATTTGCTCGATGATCTTAAAAAAGAATCAGGCCCTGCAGTACAGAGGGAGAAAAACAAAAACCAAAAAAAACCCAAAGAAGAGTCAACCAGGTATCTTGTCAATGTGACCCGGGGGGAGGGGGGGGGGGGTGTAATCCTGACCCCAAATCTGGCTGTTTTGAACTGAAGCAGGCTATTAATCATTGTGACGTGACTGGGCTATTTAGGTTAGCTCCTAAAAGCAAAATTATCTTCCCCATTGCATATGGCAGATTTTGAGTTACAGTATCATTCTCTTGCTACAAATGTGGAACTCTCTGTATATCAAGGCATGGGTGGATTAGCAATGCCTTTTTAGGATGGATTAGATGGATGCAAATAGAAGCCTAGTGTCTAAGGTAATCATAAGGCTCCCATTACTGTAGTATCTGTGAAAGACAGAGCTGCTAAAACCCCAGTTTATAGACAGGGAGGCTAAGTGAGATTCAGAGGAAGAGTGAAATATCACAGCTGAGATCTCCAGCCAAAAGCAGGCTTTATGTAGCCAAGGAAACTATTTTTAGCTCTGAAACTGTATCCAGGTTAGAACTGGATTAGTAACAGCACATTGCCTAACCTTCGAGGCGGAAGCTCAAGGCCAAGCCATTTCAATGTCCCCAGCTGGGAATCTTACCCTTAGCAAAACACAACACTGTGAATACAGTGTGTGGTGGTCTCCTGGCTGTGAATATTCATGGCTGCATGAAAGGACAATATTTGAAGTTGGCTGAACTGCAGTCATGGGCAATGGTGCCAACTAATGAAGAGTTCAGACAAGTAACTTGCACAGAATACACACAATTGTTCTTCCTCCTTCTGTCTTCCCCTGGTAGACTGATTTCACGTGTCTCCTTTCACCCCATTCAGATTTGTAATGGTGTTACATATTTATATATGTTACTTACACACAAATGATATACAGAACTATGGTGAATGAGATTCCAGGTGCTCTCAGGATTACAATGATCTCTTGATTAAAATAGAGGACTGGGAGTCAGGAGACCCAGGTTATATTCTCTCTTCCGTCAAAGACCTCCGATAGGACCTGAGCTGCATGCTCCCAGACAGAAAGCAAGGAGCAGACAGGCATATGGACGTAGTGGCTGGGCACACCGGTGCTTGCCTGCCCCTTGCCAAGAGCTCCGCAGGTACACTGAGCACACCAGCATGGTAACCACGCAGGGGGTGGCAGGCCCAGAGGCATGCGAGAATGGATCCCCTGCTACACTGGAGTCCCAGAGCCAGGCACAGCTGCTGATGGGCCTGGCTGGGTTCTGCTGTTATACCAAGTACTGCAGAGGAACAGGGGCCTGAACAGCCCAGCTGAGGATGGGATCGGCCACTCAGCAGTGTGAGGGTAGTTCCCAGTCCTAGGGCTGCTGCATGGTCCCTGCTGCCCTGCACTCCAGTGCCTCCCCCTCGGCTGCAGGACACACACCAAGAGCTCTGGGCTCCACTGCCACTGTGATCACAGTTCCTGGAGGAAATCACATCTCCTGCAGGAAGGAAGAACAGGCACATTACAGACACCACGGGCCCCATCTCCACAGCTGGTGGCTCAGACCCACATGCACTCCTCCCAGGAGCATGAGTTGCAGCCGACCATGGGGCTGGGAGCTGCCCCCAGAACCAGGGACAGCTCCCCCACCCCCCTTGACCAGAGTCCTGACCCCTCTGCCCCCTGCCAGCCTAGGGCTGCCCCTGGAGACTCCTGCCAGCACAGAATTATCCCCAGTGCCCCCTACCAACCTAAGGCTGGCACCTGGGGGAGGCTGGAGCTCCCCTTGGCTGGTGCATGGGGGCAGAGCAGGGCAGCAGCAGCCCTAGATAAGGCTGCTCCTGTTGGGCTCAATTTGCTCCTGACCTGGGCTCACAGGAGTCTAATGAGTCCAAATTTACTATGCAGTAAATTCAGGTGCATTAACTGCATGTGTAGATGTACCCAGTGGCATATAGAGATGAACTGAAGCAACTGATAAACTAAAAGAACTAGAAAAGGTTCAGTATATACTTACGTTCTAGGTTTCTGGAAAATGAGTAAAAAACCCACAGTACTACTTTTTAATATAGAAATATACAAATCTAATGTGGAACAATAGAAAACAAAAAGCCCTTTAGCCATATTTCTGTGCCTTTGTATACTGAATTATAATAAATCAAGGAGTGTTTTTTACAAATATGTGTATGTAAATATCAGTTGTAGAAGCACTATTGTTTCACCTGCTGTAGATGTGTTACCATTAATGTCCTCACTGATCCAGCCCACTGGCTGGAAAAAAGTTGGTGAGAAGTGATTAGGTGATTGAGGAGACAGAGCAAAGAAAAGTTTAATTTTCAACATAAAATTATAGTGGCTACCTGCATCTCAGTATCTTCACAGTGTAGGCTATCTAGTTCTTCCTGCTCTTTGTGAATCTTTCTGGAGTAAGTTTGAAGACATTCTGAATATTTGGGTATATCCTGATTTTGACTGATGAATTCTTGCAGTCTTGAAACCTAGATTACCAGGAGAGAAGAACAAGAAGTCAAAAACTTCCATCACTGAACCAACATTTGCTTATCTTTACAAACCTACAGAACTGATGGCTATAAGTTCATTGATTATTCTGGAAAAGGTACCAAATGCAATAAGAACCTTTAGATAAACAAATAAATATGGTAGTTATTATCATCAGTTCATTTCACCATTGTATTGATTTAATTGGTAATGTCATGAAAACAAAGACTTTTTTGACCTCTGATAGCTTGTTCATAACCTTCTCAGGAGAAAAAATGTTAAAAATATTCACATGTAAAAATTTCACAGCATAGTATAAAAAAAGATGTACTCTTTAGAAGGTTTTGAAACAAGTGATATTTTCCTAAGAGATTTGGGCAACATAAAAGGAACACTTTAGGAAAGGGCAAAAATGCATATCAGGGCCATGCAAATCAGTCTTCAAAATTGTCAGCATTTTTAAAGCTGAAGAACTTACCTGGATAAATAAGCACTTTTTATACCATGGGATTCTGCTTTTATTTTAACTAATTATCCACAGTCATAGCTTCTCCACCCATTACACTCCATTGGATTCATATTTTGGCTAATGTACTCACTTGGAAAATGAATATTATTTAGCCATTGATTATACATAACTGCTGCTACAGAGGAATAAGCAGAGTTCTGATGCATCTCAAACATTTATCTTACAGTTGACTCTATTATAATTAGACAATTTTACATTTAAAAAGTATTACATTTAAACTGTGCCTTTAAGTGCAACCCTGAGTGAGATGTGTAGAAGTCACGCTAAACCAGGAGCCGCTGTGCACCTCTACACATGCATTAATAGGCCGTTGTTATGGTGCCTTAAGTTTAGTACCTCTAATATGAACTATTAACTAAATGCACAGTAACTGGTGCTACTGCACAGTAGTGCCAGTGCATGGTCTTTTCATGATGCTTAATGTGCAGTAGATTAATTCTACTGTGCATTAGCACAGCTTTTGTCGTGATGCACTAACGCACAGTAGAATTAGTCTACTGTGCATTAAGCCTCTCATGTAGATGCGCCCACTGTGTCATAGATACACCTCTAGGTCACAATTTTCTTCTTCTTTCTTACTCTGGGAGTGCTGGTAAGTTATAAATGCAGTATGTTACTGCCTGTTCCATGATGGCTCAGCTACCCTAGTCAGTGAACAGAAACCCTACTCTCCATTCCGTTCCTTTGCTCTCTCGACCCCTTTGCTTCAAGGAATGAGCAAGCAGCTCTCCTTATCCCTACCATCAGATTTTTGCATCCCATGAGGGTCATTCCCTACAAAGCATCCACCAAGGCAAGTGGGTCCCCCTCTCAAAAGGACCTGCCTCAAGATTTTGTCCCACATCTACCAAAGCATCTCTATGCCACTGTTCTCAGGACCCTGGAGCAAAGATCTGGGAAACACATCTAGATGTGTAAGGAAGGTTCTAATTCTTATTTACCCTCTGCCAGGAGCCCACAATTCAAGTCACAGTCTAGTCCTGGTTGAGTCATATTTCTCACCAAACAGCTATCAAAAAATAAAAGATACAGTACTATATTAATCTCAGCCAAAACAAAAAGGATTTTAAGTCTTTACAGACATTTAAAAACAACCATTTCTCGTATTTCTGGGTATGTTCATTCCATATTCCCTTGGACGTTAGTTACAGACAAGATTATGAATCTCATTATGAATTCTTATCAGAATTCAGATTCCTTTTAACATCAGGGTAGAATTATACCCAGCATACCTCAAGTGAGGAATCTTGAAGTTTCCCACTTAGGGCTTCTTTCTCTCTCTGCAGCTGCTTTATTTCATTCTCAGATTTCTTTCTTAGTTCCTCTAACTGCAGCTGAAGCTCCTAAAATTGAAAAAGAAACAAACATTCTAAGGTGGCTGCATTGCTTCATTTCCAAGACTTGAGGCATGTGGACAGGCACCAAGTAGGTGGTATGTGCTCCAGAGTGGTGTTCCTGCATGGCACAGAGGCAGTATAGGCATGCTCAAAGAGTGAAGTGACTTGTCTAAGGTCACTAAAATGATGGATATACGAACAACTTACGTCAGGGTAAAGGAGGGTGCGGATTTCACCTGCTTCACAGTAACTGCCCACATGCATGCTCTCACCTGTGATAAGTAGAAACTACCTACAGTAGCTGAGCCCTCAGTGAAGGAGGAGTAAATTACTTTTATTTTACATTCCACTTACCACAGGTTATGTGGGTGCACACAAGCAGTTTCCACAAGGCAGCTGATGTACAATAAGATGCTGCCTCCTTCTACTCTGCCGTAATTTGTATGTCCCATATCCTGAGAGAATAAGTGGGAGCACTTAAAATAATTGTCTGCTCACACCCAGCTCTGTCCCCTAGGTCGCATCGTCACTCAACAAAAGGTTGCAAGAATATTGGGAGAGTGCATGGGTATTGATTTATGAGATACAACGATGTGCTGTCATACTCACTACTTTTATAAAAGATCATTCTGAACCACAGAAATGTAGGACAGAAAAGAACATCTTGAGGTCATCTAGTCCATCCCCGTGCTTTGAAGCTTCTCATCAGTTTTGTTTCTGTCCCCTAGAATTTCTCCAATTTGTCTATATCCTTCTAAAGGATGGTGCCTGAAATTGGACACTGTCCTCCAGCTGAATGAAGCACAGTAATTATCTCTAATGTCCTGCACGCGACACTCCTGCTAATACATCCTAGAATATTTGCCTTTCTTACAACAGCATCACACTGTTGAGCTGTATTTGTACTGTGACCTACTAAAACTTTCAAATGCTTTTCTGCAATGCTACTGCCTAGCCATATGTCCCCTATTTTGTATCAGTACACTTGATTTTTCCTTCCTAAGTGTAGCACTTTGCTCTTGTCTTAACTAAATTTAATTTTATTGATTTCAGACCATTTCTCCAATTAATCAATACCATTTTGAATCTCAATCTGTGCTTCCAAAATGTATTAGCATCAATCTATTTATTTCAACTTATTTAGTCACAATTTTGACTGTCTCACCAGACCAGCAATACTTGCACTCTGGACCTAAATCTATGAGGTGTTAAAAATGCCCTCAAATTCTGTTGCCCTACAAAAAAAATTTCAGAATTTGCAGGATTGGGCCTTACATTTATAAAGTGTATAAGCATGTACTGGGTCAACATATTTGAACTCTGAAGAGCAGAGATCCATAGAAACATAAAGCAGAGAGTGGAATGTACAACCACTATACATTATTTCTTGGGACAGATTTTATATTAATCACCCCAGTATCATATTCAGGCTTGCAAGCTTAAGTGCTGCTAAGTACTCAGTTGACATACCAAGGATAAATTCACCTTCCTGTCTGTGAAGCTTTTTATAGAGATGCACCAGCTCAACTCATGTTTTAAAAACATAGCAATAATATCTTTGCATTCTCCAGTAACTCAAAGTGCCTCCAATAAAGATAATTCAAATGATGCTACCATGACCAATGAGATTAAATACAAATGAATCAGACTATGTGTTAATTGAAGAACATACCTACCTTCTGCAATGTTTTTCTTTCAGCTTCCATGGAAGCTTGTACTGACTTGATTTCCAGTGTGTGTTTTTTCACAAGGTCCTCCAATCCCTTCACCAGCTGCCCCTTCAAACGCATTTTCTCCTCATCTGACTGACGTTTGATTTTGCGAAGTTCTTCTTTTTGCCACTGCTTCATATCGTCTTTTATGGTAGCTGCAGGGTCCTCTGACTATAAAACACATTGGCCTTATAACTGGACAAAATCAAGGTAAAATCCTGGAGTCTCTGTTGTAAAGGAATCCCTGTCCAACAGGGTAAATTCCATGGGAAAACTTTGGTTTTCACTTTTGTTAATTTTAATGGACTGATCCAGGACTGTACACATCTCTTACAGTTAAGCTTTTCACACTGTTCACACTGCAAATTGCTTCTGAAGCTAGAGATCTTCCCAAGGACAGTCCCTCAGCCATGGAAAGAGGAAGAATTTATTTTGCCCCCTGCTATGTCTATGATAACAGGTATATTTTTTCCTACATCCAAGTAAATTGATCCAGTAAGAGAACTAACAGATAAGAAACTGTGTTTGGGTTGGCTAATTAACAGGGACATTGTGATAAGGGAGTTCCTAATAGGGATGATTAGTTAGCATTAATAGCTAATAGCTCTTATTTTTGGGCTAGGCTACTTTTGGTTAAGATTCTAAATAAAATAGAACTGTTTACCCTTTTTATGTTAATCAGCATTTCAGCCCAATTTCAACTGAAGAAACTAGCAGCATGTTTCACAAAAAATTGTGCTATATATCTACTTTGGTTAGTTTATAAGATGCAAATCTACCCAGCCTTCAACTGAAGTCCCCAGAGCCACTCATGTGTTTGAAGTAAGCAGTAAAGCATGTACTTAAGTGCTTTTGCTGCAATGCACTCAGCACTCAGTGTTTTGCAGGAATGAGTCCTACAGGCTTGATCCAAACCCCAATGAAGTCAAAAGAAAACCTCCCACTGATTTCAATTTAGAGTCTCATGCCATAAAAGAGAGGGGAGCAAATACCTGGTTTGGCACTTTTGTATCTTCACAGTCTTTCTTGCCACTGTGGCTCTCTTTGGTGGAAGTCTTTTGTTGGAACTGCACTATCTGGTCTTTCAGTTCATCTGCTGCATTAGCAGCTCTGCATTGGGCATTCAGTATAGTTTCCATTCCTTCTGTGGTAGCAAGATTTACATTTCAAACATGTTTCATTTGTGGAATTTTCAGTATGAATGACTCAAAAGGGGAAATGTTTGAGAGAGACATTAGTGAACTTCTTACCTGCTTTCCTCAGTATTTCATTCTCCTGCAGTATTAGCTTATCTTTGGCAACAGGTAGTTCTTCCTCCAGTTTTTTCATTGTACTCTTTGACTCCAGAATCTCTTGTTTTGATTCCCTGAGCTGTATTTCCAAGTCCTGAAATACATGTGATTTCTCTGTTATGCCTATGGGTGTTTTTTTTAACTCCTAAAGACAGGTACCACCATTAAAAAGTGATCAGTCACCAAAGTTGCCATTCAAAGACAGAAAATATAGATTGGCAATACAGATTAAAAATAGTCATAAATAAACAGTAATAAATTTACAATCATTTAAACTAATAGTTAATAAGTAAACATGAATTTTACTTAAATAATAAGTAAACATTAATTTTACAGTCCGGCCAAGGCAAGATTGGAGCTTAGGCTGGCTACAACAATTAAGGACAATATAAAGTCCTCCTACAGATACATGGCGAGCAAAAAGAAAGCACAAAGTAGCATAGGGCCCCTGCAGGACAAATCAGGTCAGTTGGTGGTTGACGCAGAGAAAAAGGCAGAGCTCTTCAATGAGCTCTTTGCTTCAGTATTCCTTAATACTGACCGAGACCATCCCCCCACCTTGAGCATAGACAGATGTCCAAAAGGCACCAGACCACCAAAGGTTAGTGCTGACTTAGTTAAAAAGCACTTGGAAGGGCTGGGTGGGTACAAGTCAGCCGGCCAGGATGACCTCCATCCACGGGTGCTGAAGGAATTGGCCAGTGTTATTGCTGAGCTGCTGGCACAGCTGTTTGAGCTCTCATGGTGCTCCAGACAGGTCCCTGAGGACTGGAAAAAGGCCAACATGGTGCCCATTTTTAAGAAGGGGAGAAAGGAGGAGCCAGGTAACTTTAAGCCAGTCAGTCTTACCTCTATCCCTGGGAAAATACTGGAAAAAATCAAAGAGCATATTTGTGAAGGCCCAGCAGGGGAAACGATGGTTCCTCACAAGTAGATCCTGCCTGACAAACCTTATAGCCTTTTATGACCAGGTCACACACTGCGTTGACACAGGAGCTGAGGCCGATGTCATCTACCTGGATTTTAGGAAGGCCTTTGACACAGTTTCGCATCCTAGTCTCATAGGGAAGCTAACGGGCTGTGGAGTGGACGCCTACACAGTCAGGCAGGTGGCTAACTGGCTTAGGGACCACACCCAGAGAGTTGTGGTTGACGGGTCATTCTCAGCCTAGAAGGAGGCGGGCAGTGGGGTCCCACAGAGTTTGGTCCTTGGTCCGGTGTTGTTTAATATCTTCATCAGCGTTTTGGACAAGGGTGTGGTGAGCACCCTCTCCAAGTTTGCGGATGATACCAAATTATGGGGCAAAGTTAATACACCAGAGAGCAAGGAGCAGATACAGGCTGACCTGGACAGGTTAGATCAATGGGCAGAACGCAATACGATGCAATTCAACAAAGACAAATGCAAGGTACTTCACCTAGGGAAGAGGGATCCCCAGCACACCTACAGGTTGGGGGATGTCCTCCTCAGCAGCTCAGAGGCTGAGAAAGATCTTGGAGTCATAGTTGACTCCAAGATGAACATGAGTCAGCAGTGCAACGAGGCCATCAACAAAGCCAATCATACCTTGTTGTGTATTAGCAGATGCATGACCAACAGATCGAGGGAGGTGATGCTCCTCCTCTATGCAGCATTAGTCAGGCCACAGTTGTGCCCAGTTTTGGGCGCCGCACTTCAAGAGGGACACGGAGGATCTGGAGAGGGTTCAGAGGAGGGCCACTCGCATGATTAGTGGTCTCCGTGAAAGACCCTACGAGGAGAGATTGAGAGATCTGGATCTCTTCAGCCCTCACAAGAGACAGCTGAGGGGTGACCTTGTAGCCACCTATAAATTTATCAGGGGAGGACAGCAGGGAATTGGGGATGCACTGTTTACCAGAGCACCCTAGAGAGTAACTAGGAATAATGGGTGCAAACTAGTGGAGAGTAGATTTAGGTTAGACGTTAGGAAGAAATTTTTTACAGTAAGGGTGGCCAGAGTCTGGAATGGGCTTCCAAGAGAAGTGGTGCTATCACCTAACTTGGAGGTCTTCAAGAGGAGGCTTGACAGTCACCTGGCCGGGGTCATCTGACCTCAGTCCTCTTTCCTGTCGGGGCAGAGAGTCGGACACGATGATCCACTGGGTCCCTTCTGACTCTATAATCTATGAAATCTATGATATTTAATATAATAAAAATAGAGTTTTAATGTACAGTATTTTTGTGGCATATCTTGCTATGGCTTCAAAGGTGTCATTCAAGTCCTCCTCCAACTGCTGCCAGGCTCCCAGTCAATCAAGTTGTAAATGGGTACCTCATCATCTGGGCTGGGATGACCAGATGTAAAGCTATTCCTGTAACTCCCTTGTGTGCTGCTAGCTACAGATTTGATACATCTTAACCATACCTAGCCTGGCTCTGGAGAATCTTTGACCATTGCCAATAGTTTCAGAGTAGGACTGTGCAACTGGCATCCATGGCTACATGAGGGCCACAAAAGGTTAAATTGCAGCCTGCCCCCCCCTCAAAGCTCCTACTCGAACCTGATCTCTATTGTTACAGAGGCAATAGCAGCTGAAGACTTCAGGCTCCCCATCCCTCTGCCAGCTGTCACTTCTGCCCCTGCCCCAGGAGGTGAAGCACTGCAGCAGCATGAAGAGCTGAGGTTGAGCCTGGGACACATGGTACAGCACAGGATGGGGGAGTCACAGGCATGTGGTGCAGTAGGGGTGGGAGAAGCTGAAGGCATGTGGTGCAGTAGGAGAGTGCCTGGTGTAGCAGTGGGCACAAGCATGGGAACATTGGTGCACCACAGGGGTGTTGTAGACATTTGGTGCAATGATGGAGTAGCACCAGGGCCAAATTAATGCATAGGCAAACTAGGCACATGCCTAGGGCCCAAAATGAAGAAGGGGCTCAGTTGTGCTTATTTTACATATCATAATTAATGAGTGTAAAAAAGTAATATTATATATACAGTATTAAGTAGGGGCACACAAGTTTGTTTGCCTAGGGCCCACTAAAGGGTTAATCCAGTCCCGAGTAGCGTCCATGGGATGTGCAGTGCAGAGTCCCACGGTTCTCCCTGGTGTGGCTGCTGAGCATACAGCCCCCACTGGTGTGGCCCCTAGTCTCTTGAAAGTTGGTCAGTCCTGGTTTCATAGCATAACCTATAATACAGGTACTTCAGAATACATATGAGCAGCTCCTACTCACTTCAGTGAAGGCTCCCTATACACAAGACAAAATTTAATCCTCATATAGTAATTCAAAGAACTATGGATGGTTTTAGTCTCAAACTTCCAATACATCAATGTTTATTTAGGCAAAATTTTAATTGGCTTCAATGGGAATTGCATATGAGTAAGAACTCTAGGATTTGGTCTCTCAAAAAAAGTTATCCAACTGACATTTTTCATAAAGTTGGAATGATGTTGTAGCCATGATAATCCAGTGAGAGGCAGGGTTTTTGTGAGTGATTTTTTTTGGACTAATTGCATGGTTGGGATAGATTTAGACAAGCTTTTGAATGCAGTGCATACCACAGACCTCTGTTGGTCATCTCTAACATCTTTCGTAGGACTTGGAAACACAGAGTATGGACAAACAAATGACAGCATGTTAACAGGGGCAGGACTTTACTGCACATCAGCTAATGTCTTTGTAATGTCTCAGTAATGTCTTTGCCCTCAGCCGATCAAAAGGGAGTCGGGTTCAGATCCCTGAATCTGGAGTGGCAGAGAGCACATACTACCATGCATAAGCCTAAGGACCACCATGTATGAACTACAGAAAGAAGGCCCGATGACTCTAGCAAACAAACACAAGATACAGGAGGTGGTGAGGAAAAGGGATATGGTGTTGCCCATGGACTTTCTCCCCAGTGACAGCAGTTAGGCTGTATAGAAAATGATCTTGCACAAGGACCTGCAGAAGGAAAACAGAGACATGGACTGGCAAGTAGCCCAGAGCGGCGACACAGAGTGGCAAAGAAGCCAACCACACTGCCCCACAGAAACCTGCCCGTGGGAGGCAAAGACAGTCGACCACCACCTGTGGCACCGTTCATATGCCAAAGGGATGTGGAGGAAAGTGTTCACACTCCTCAAGATGGTGACAGGGGTCAAAATCCTAACCAGAGAAGCAGCGCTTTTTGGCACCTGTCCAAGCAGCAGGAGACCCCAATGGTCCACTTCAACCAATTCATCTCTTGCTTCAGGAATTCCCTGTGGAAGACCATAGGCAGACAAGGTGCTTTGGGTAAATGTGTTATCTTTATCAGACCAACTAAATAGTTGGAAAAATTGTTCTTTCCAAGCCTTCAGGAAGAGGGAGAATCTGCTGTTGTTTTGTGTTCTCCTGGATGAAACAGAAGTCAATGTGCAAAATGCAGGTCTGTGAAAATGCAAACAGGTGGCAATGAGGATCAGAGGCCATGGGAGACAATAGGTGAGAGACAGGTAGGTGGGGGGGAGGGGGGAAGGAAAATGTTGCTCTGGTGATAGAATGTAGCTGGTAAAATGTAGACGTTACCTAGGGTTATTGAACGGAAGACAGGTTATAATGTGCCATAAATTCAATGTCTATATTTAGTCCATGATTTTTTTGTATCCAGTAGATTTATGAAGTGAAGTTTGTAGGCTCATCTACAAAAGGTGTTTTGTAGATTCCATTTCAGGATTAGAATTGAGAGATTAGAAAGAGAGTGGTTGTCTTGTGAGAAGTGTGCACCACAGGTCATTGGGTATTTGTGTCTTCGATAGATTTTTGGTGTGCATTCATTCTGGTACAAAGTTGTTTTATTTCTCCTACATATTTTCCATCAGCGCATTTAGCGCACTGGATGAGGTATATTACATTTCTGGAGGTACAGGTATAAGATCCAGGAATGGTGACGGTTCTGTTGTGGGATGTTGTGGGGTACGGTGTCTCTCAACAAGGACATTCCTCCAGAGAGATAGAACACACTTTTGAAAGAGCTACCAGGATACCACATGAAGAATTGCTGCAGTACAAAAAGAAGATTCCCCACAAATTGCACACCATTAGTTATGACATACCATCCTTCCTTAGAACCTATACAGAAAATGCTCAAACAATTGCAACCCATACTA